AGACCGGGCACAGGTGTTCCAAGACCGATATGGGCTATTCTTTCATTGTAAATAGTTGGAAAATGGTTTTGTTCTGTTCCTTAATTGGACAGCAGACCTTTAATAAGCAATTGCCTGAAGACATTTTTGGTAGAATGTTGGAGTAGAACTTATTAAAAATACTCTTTGGCGTTGTTGTCGTTAACTACCATGGATTTACATTAAATTCTTCAGGGATGCAGGCAAGTTTTGACATCACTCTAAACTGTCTTCGTGGACGCACACTTGAAAGGCTGAAAACAATGTGTACGGTTTCAGTTGGATGAAATCAAAATGTTACCACGAGAATAATTCTCAGAAGAAGCGCGTCTTTTTCATCACACTATCCCATTATTTTCCCCAGCATTATTTGAACCATTGAATCCATCTTCAATTGAAGAATCGTTTCCTGGTTGATTCAAATGAAGGTCGATCGCATACATTGTTTCATTGCAAATATATGGAAAATGCTTTTCTTATGTTCCTTAATTGGGCATTTAATAAGAAATTGCCTAAACACGCTTTTGGTGAAGGTGGAATGTTGGAGTGGAATTTATCGCAAATACTCATTGCTCTTGTTACCATCAACTACATTTGATTTGATTAGGTTCTTTGAGAAAAGAGGCAATTTTTGCTACCACTCTAACTTGTCTTCAATGGACGCACACTTCAGATGCTAAAATAATCTGGACGGTTTCAGATGAATGAAACACTTTTCAAAATGATACACAGAGAATCATTCCCAGAAGAAGGGCTTTTGTTTTCTTCACAATATCCATTATTTTCCTCAACATCATTTGAATTCTTCTCTAGTTGATTGAAATTAAGATCGATCGGACACTTTCGTGAGACACCGGTATCAATCATATTGAGTTTTTTTTTATTGACCGCAAAATATTAGCTTTCATAGAACTGGTGCGGAATAAGTTTAGCTCTAGGCCATTCCAACCTAGACAAACTGGCTACGATGGAATCTGCACAGTGGCGTATCGATATCTGCCATTTCAAGGCTGATCAATTCTTCATTGCTTTTCTAACGTTTACAGTTTTTCATCCGAAAGATTATTCAGATATTCAAGTGGGACTGGAGAATATTTTTGATCCCGTGACTTTCCCGGTGAATCTCAGACTTTGATCCCATTCCCAACTCTTTGACCTTTTATAACATTACATTCTACCATCCACTGGGCTTTAACAGCGTTCATGAAGACAAACGTGCAATTTTACCTGCACATGTTCTGGAATTTCATTAATTTCATTGGTGAATATTTGCTGGTTTACAATTGGTCTCTTCAGTAGGTATAAGGTCGGCCTGGGGGCCACCATAAATCCGAGACAGGCAGGCTGTCGGAATCCGCGATGGGATGTAATCATTACGAATGGCACAGATGATGGGTTCACATTGTGCTCAACATCACTGGATAGTTCAATTTAGCAACCATTTGACCATTTATTCTCAATTAATCGCACATGGAGATTCCTTATTAAATTTTGCTAACGTCCAATGTCCATCAACATTGATCAATTGACATGGGAACAAGTTAATTATAGGATTCGGTGAATTTATTAATAATTAAAGTCTTCGCCGTTTGTTTGATCTATTAGTATGTACATCTGCTTATATCTTTCCTGATGATATGAAGGCGTTTCCCTATGTTGCTGATGGTTTTTTCTTTCACTACTTAAATGATAATCATCCAAACCAGCTGGCCCTGATATGGCAATCCAGTTAAAAACCCTCTTGGTTGCAACACTCTGTATCAGCAGCGAAATACGCTCATTAAAATAAAGCCGTAGATCGATTTTCATTGATCTCAGATCTGATGTGAGTTGCAAACCAGATTTGCGCCTTTCAACTGGTTATAATCTTGCGAATTTACCTAAGAAACTCATTACCAGTTGCTGATACATTTGGGATTTGATGGTGCAAGAAGTCTGAAGGCGACGTTAAGTGTGGCTCATGAATGAACAACTTGTTCAGCTGATAACTCGCTTTGCAACTGAATCTTTCAACTAGTTGTAGCTGATAGAAGATGATTTTCGTGTTTCCTATTAAAGTTTGTAAGTGATTCTAATTAACTAACAATTTTTACGTTAGTTCCTTAACTAACTGTCTAACCCAGACACTAAAAAGTGCTTTTTTGGTTCGAATTCTTGTACTTTGGCAATTACCCAGTACCGCTCAGGATTCAACAACTACAAGCAAATTTGCGGCTATTTCGGGATGTTTAAGCAGGAATTTATCCACACGATACGATTTATTTGCGAACAGAAGTGACAGAAGTAGGCAACATCGAGTTATATTAAGATCGACTTGCTTGGTGGGTCTCCGAAATAGCTGAACAGCGTCCGAAATTGACTGCTGGATCTTAATGGTTAGATAGCAACAATATTTGCTTAACCCAGTTTGAGAATTTGGAGTTAATTTGTTTATTTACCATTTTGATTGGCGCGCTGCTGTATTTGGAAAAGTTAAATCTCCGTTTTGGGTCTACCCGCAATGTCTGTGACAGTTTTATACTTTATACAGAATTTATTAGTATCAAAAAATCATCATCTACAGCAACTGGTTTTGATGTATCCCTGCTTGATGAATTCCCCAAGTTTTGAGCGATATAAACAGCAACTGACCATAAGAGTTTGTCATTTCACCCGCTTTTAATGTTTGAGAGGTGAGTAGTCAACGAATAAAAAAAAATGAATTTTTAGGGTTGAAACCGTATATCAAAGCACACATTTTTGTAAGACGATATCAGGAAATAAGAGATTGGCACCCCTTTGTTGACACGCCAACAGGGCTTGAAAGAGTGGCATCTGATAAGCGCGCACGAATTATTTCACTTTCTAGTTTGCACGTTTAATAACTTATATTTTATGGCTGAAAAAGATGAATGAAGGGGACTTTTAGGGATAAAATTTTCTATAAGCAAAAAGGATCAAATGTTTCGTTAGATCTACAAGATGTTGGAATTTAGAAAAACCCCAAATTAGATTCTTGCGTTAGTTGTGTACCTAACTTTGTTTAGATTTGTTTAGTTTAGTTTGTCTCAAATTCAGTTTATTGCTGCTTCATTCTATTTCTTCCCAAGAAGAACAAAAAATGTATTTTGTCCTTTGAATCTGCCAGCGGCCAAACAGCAAAAGTTGTTGACGTGAAGAGCATGACTAAGAAAAATGACCAATCATGCAGCGCCCTGCAGCGTGATTTATAATTTGCAATGTGATTTAAATATATAAAAACCTGTAGATCTTTTGACACAGACAAAACGAAAAAACGTATGTTTAGGCGATTTCTTTTCCATAAAGCAACGCGCTGTGTTTGCGTCCACAGTGACAATCTTAATATTCTTCACACAATCTGATGTGATCTTCTTGAACCGAATTATGCCTGGAGCCACTTTGAACTTTTTCCTTTCTACTACGATTATATTTGTCCGTGTATCAGATTTCTAATTATATTTATTTGCTTTTTTATTGACGCAGTTTTGCACGTTGCTTTCAATGCATATTCCCCTTACGTTTTTAATGATTTAGTTCTTACCTTCTGCGTTGTTGCTATTAATCATTCTAAATATTGCAATTTTTGTGATTTAACTTTTTCACGCTATTTTTAATTATTTTTGAAAAACAACTAGATCCACGAACATTCTCTGCATTCTCTGCAGATCTGCATTCTGTTTAAATATACTAAATATTTTTCATCTTTTTTACTTTTTTGCTCATGTTCTCATTTGTTATTCGCTTTGCCCATATTTTGATTTGATTTCAGTTCAATCTGGTCTTAAGCTTTCTGTCTGGTTAATTCAATAAACGCGTTTTTCCTTTCCATGAAATGTATTTTACATTTTCTGTGGCGATAAAGCACATATTCACTTGATTTTATTTCAAACGATTTTTAAGCGTTTAATCAGGTAAATTCTATAAACGTTTTTTTTCCTTTTTAAAGTTTTTGGATATTAACGCAAACAATTCTTTCGAACTGGTAATATTCGAAATAACGGGAGCTCAAAAAAATAAAAAGTAGTTTCTGCATTAACCTACTAAAAAGTGTTTTGTAATGATGATAGAAATAATTTTGAAGCACAAAGTAAGTTGAAAACTATCAGAAACCCATGAAGAATGAGGTTCTAACAAGCGATACAAGGGAAATTATCTAAATATCTCCAAACCGGCGAACTTCAGCGCGGTTTGCTAACTATATAAGGAAATGTAGTGATCAAACAGACTCTAATTATTTTGAGGAAAGTGATGCTTTATGTGAGCAAACAATAGAATACAATAGAACGCGCGCTCCAGAGTGATCTTCTTCATGCCATAAAATCCACAAACAGCAACGTAAAACCTCCTCAAATAGCACTTAAAGATACGCACATTATTAAGCAAAACCTAGATATTTAAACGAATTTTGAACACACATTTTATGGGAACACTATGGGACTTGCTGTTTTCTATCGGCTGCTGAAGGTTCTGTTAAAAGACCCACACCTTATTTATATAAACTTCATGTATATTTTTCATTTGATGTTCTAATACCCATATACAATAAATAAAGATTGAACATCGAGTACTTGGGAAATAAATCGCGATTTTGCTGTAAAAATTACTGATAAAACATGTCTTCAAAAACTGGACGGTGGGTTTGGAAAACACCCAGTAATATATTTGGTATTTTTTTCTATTGCTTGTAAACAGTAGCGTTTTGCTTAGTTGATGGCAGTTAAGATAATGTTGAAACTAATGATAAATATCGCGATAAAGGCAGGTTGAGCGTTGCGTGGTCACGACGAAACGCTCCTCTAAAGCGTGGAATTTTGCGTTTTAAAAGTTACCGCCAAAATCGCTTGGAATACGGGAATTCTCTGTACGAACCAACAAACAAACAAACAGTAAAAGGTTAACAAGATAAACATGTTAATGGAGCAGCAGAAAGCAAAAGCCGAGGCCTTGAAGACGAAAATACACACTTGCTTGAAAACACTCACCATGTGTGTGGAAAGTTCCAAAAAGGAGTCCGGGTTGGCTTGGAGGACCAGACTTTCATGGAACATCCGGCATTTATTGCAATTATGATGTTTCTGAATTGTTATTCACGTGATCTGAACACTTACAGACACAAAAGCTATTTTTAACTTGCGCTATTGCAACAAGCGATAAAAAACTAAAATGTTTTATTTACCACACGATTTAAAATTATTATCAGATCCGGAGACTGTGTGACGGATATGTTTAAGATAAGTCGCTAGTGACTTAATTCGGCTTTTGCTTCAACTTCTGATCGCAATTTAATAAGCGTTACATAAAAGAAAACTTCCTCCAGCGCATCGAATCAACACACTCAGTCTACAAATTAAATTTAGCACATATTATCATTATCAGAAAACCGCACCACAATAATAAAGTTTATAACAGTATAGTTGACAAATCAACTTTTGCCACAACGATTGGTTGAATTCTAATTCAACTCTACCACATCTCTAAAGTTCCACCAATTACGAAAGTTCCTCAGATAACTTCCTCACATTTAACACGTACGCTAACCGAAGGCAGAAACAAACTAACAACTAACAGACACTCCGCTTTTTAAACCAGAACTCCAATCACTAGTTGCACAGTACTAGTAGCCTGTTGAATGTCTATTCTTTTTATTTTCCTCCTTATTTTCATTTAAATTTCTGTTCCGTGTCTACATCTTGTTCGCCACTAAATAAGCAAAGGAACGATTAGTGGGTTTTATATCAGCCGCACAGCACCATCTACTGATCGCAATGCAAAAAATTTACAGAGATCTGTACCCCACTAATTCATTTTCGTTTCGTTTTGGTGAACCCAATCGAAAAGCTTCAGTTTCTGCTGAGTTTCAAGCTTTTGCACGGTTTCTCTAAAGGATCTCAAAGGTTTGGGGCCAATGCTTAAAGTTTATTAAAAAAAGTATACGCCCTAATACTGGAGCTTTCAACTTCCAAGGAGTTGGAGCCACGGGAGAAGTTTTTCTGATAAGTTCAGAACGTAATTTTGAAGATATTGTGCGGATGTTTCGGGTTTCAGTTGTTTCAAGTGTGGTCTTTGGCCTAAGGGTTTGAGAAGGGTTGCGCCCTCTATGAGCCATTAAAATCAACAAAATTATCTCAAAATAAATATTTTTTAAAAATTTTTCGTTAATTTAATTTCTTTTTCGAAGATCAAAGCATTGAACATGGCTCTGATGACCCGTTTGGAAATCTTCCCAAATGTGAAAAAATGAAGATGCAGCAACAATGGAAGTAGACACTTAAAGTGCTGTAGACGTTGAAATGATGAGAGAGAAATTAAAGACGAATATACTAACGAACACTCATACATAAAACTAAAAGTAGAAAAATACAAAACACCAATTTGCTCCGTAGCTAAAGCGATTCAAAACCGATTGAGGTTTGGAAGCTTCAAGAAAAAGTTCCAATTTCCTATTGGTATTTTAAGCATATTTTCCTAATTGTTCACTAGATACATTTCCATTAGAGCCTTTTAATAATATGAAGATTTCATGCGATTTACAAAGATACTGGCAATGATTCCACTTCATATCGCAATCCGCAAGTATTTCCAGTCGCTTGAAGCTTCAATTATTTCCACTTGGCAATGGCAATATTTTTCCAGTTGGATTCGAAATGGTAATTGTGCTTCCTGTGCAAATGCATCCACGTAACCAGCAAATTAGTCGCTATTCTATGCGTGGAAAGTTATTCTAGAGACAAAGGACAACAATTTCCATTCGTCCGCCTAAGTGTTCCATACGAGCAAGTATAGATGTAGTAAGTAAGTATAAATATCCGTAATTTTGCTTTATGTGGTATTCCTTTTATATCTGGGTTTTATTCAAATGATTTGATTGCTGAGATTTTTTCATTACAAGTTAATAATATTATTTCATATTTTTAAATTTTATTTATCTATTGGAATAACAGTGTCTTATTCTTCACGTCTTCAATCTCCCTCTTATCTCTTCCCTATTATAACTTTGTATTTAATGAATCAAAAATTTCTTTTTATTATAAAAATGTTGATCAAGGATGGCTTGAGTATTACGGAAGAAAGTGTCTTTTTATAGTGTTAATTGAAAATTTTCATTAAAACAACACACAGTAATACAAGTAATTTAAACTTTATGTGTTAAGTGTGAAGTATGACACCCTGTCAGGGGCGGATCCAGCTTTAAAGTCAAGGGGGTTATGTAGAAAAAATACAGTCTTTTATTGTTTATGAAATTAGAAAAATGATCGTCGTTTTGTGCAAGGGTGGCGCAAGATTATTACAAAATTTCATGTTTTCCGTCCCGTTTTGCATGTTTCTCGGAAGCAAAATGAGCAAGAACGCTCGTTTTTACATCATTCTAGAAATAACTAAATGGCCTTTATTCGAAGTTTCTCAAGAACCATTCGAGCCACAGAATTCGTTTTGGCATCGATAGAGAATTGAAAACTCGATTCAGTCGTAACAACGTGAGTGAGGAAATTCGATTAGTTTTGACCCAGAAAGCGAAATTTGAATATCAGACACTTAGGTGCAAGATTATGCCAAAATTCCATATTTTCCGTCCCGTTTTTGCACATTTCTCGGAGGCAAAATGAGCAACAACGCTCATTGGTACATCATTCTAGAGAGAAATAAATGGCCTTTTTAGAAAGTGAACCATGGATGGGAAAATGTTGGCAGTGCGATTTCCCTCGAAATCCACATGGGGTGCAAGTTCAAAATTAATGCTCCAGAAGCAACCTGGGGATCATCGCCACCCAAAGCCGAGTTATGATATAATATTTATTCACTTTCATTAAATAGTTAATACTTTGGTATACATTAGCTTAGGTTTGGACAGTAAATGACTAGATAAGAAAATTTCCACTAGAATTGAGCTAACATTCAAACACCTATATTCGTAAAAATCAGCCTTTTAAACACAAGTCGTCTCGGAGTCCAACGGTGTGGTGATCTTCAGCAAAGGCGCGGATTCGGTCCACACCGGGATTTCCTCCGCATCGCGCGAATATCGCGCCAAAAGATCCACTTCCTGCTTGCGCGGGCTGGTGGGAGCCGATATGGTATGAACAGGAATACCCTGAGGCACCGATAAATGGCAACAGAGAGTTGGAACACTGTAGCAAATCGGCCTGGCCAGCTTCTGGTCATCCGAGAGGATCGCCAGTTGCGTTTGGGCCACCAACGCTGCGGAAGTTGCCAGGTTTTCGATGCAAGGGCAAGATGTGGATGCGGCTTTCCAGATATCAGCGCAACAGTCTATCGTGTACGGCTGTAACTATAAAGATACTGTATTTGCAACACGTAAAGCTCAGACAAGTGAATCTGATTTTGCGCCGAGGGACCAAAAGCCGGGTTGGATGACGATGCGGATGGTGGTTTTTGTCTCATTTTCAGGTCCAAGTCAAAAGAGGTCCAGGATTAATTGAATAGGTGCCTTTCTATCAAAGTGATGCTTTATTGCGTTGGTGACTAGAAGACAGTTTGGGCTGCAGAGATCATTTTCGCTAGTAGACAGAGCATTCAATTGTAAAAGGATTTTTTTCATACAGTCCAATTTTCGGAGAAACTCTAGGGGACGATAGAGAATCGAAAAACATTTTGAGTTTACTTTATAGACAATATGGATTTAAGTTTGGCTTTAAAAAATGAAACAAAATAAATCATATTTAAGCACATTTAAATTGTGGTAATTTTTTTCTTTTGCCAGTGGCGTTCATACTAACACTTTAATGGATATTTTTAAAGAATAAACTGATACGCCACTGCTTTTTAATGAATCAAAAATAACTTTTGGATTCTTCATTTTTTATCTGCACAACTTTGCGCTTTCAAGTAAAAAATAATAAATAATTGATACTCATTGAACAAAAAAGTATAAAACCATCAGTCTATAATGTTCATTATCAACGAAAACTATAGGAATTGCTCCAAACGGTTGTAGTACAACCATCTCATAATATTGTCCATTGGCTTTTAGGCTCGGTAAAAGAAGATTTTTACTTTTTGTACAAAATTCTGTGGACGGATGAGTTCTCATTCAGTAGATGTGGGTGACCGATTAAGATAATCTCCTATTTTTTTACAAACTTCTTTTTGGGTATTTCGCCTCAAAAATTTTTCTCTTTAAAAAAGACAGAATTTCCTCACGTCTTTTATTACAGAATGATAAATAATGCTCCTATTTTGCAATAAGAACGAATTATTTATCAAAAAGTAATCAAGAACTATCACCTAGAGGGAATCCTGCGACACACTTAGGCTCAAGCTGTAGTAGAGAAATTAATTTGAAAAATTACCTTGACGTTTCGATAGCTTTTTTCTGCTATCGTTATCAAAAGAACGTAAATGAACCTAAAAAACAGTATGTTAATAAATTGTGTAACAATAGTAGGATAATACAGTATATGGAATTTCGCTCTAATAATTCGTCTGTGCAAATTGTCAGTTATGTGACTGACTTAATCTCATTGTTTAAATGAATAAAGGTAATGTTAATTAATAATTTTGGTGTAAATTTAATTTGGGTGTATGTTTCTCTGGTCTACTTCAGATTTTAGCATAGTATGACTTAAATTAAATGAACATGAAGCAACACAATTATTTTGATTTAGTAAAATTAGTGCGCTTTCTTTAATTTTACGTTTTTTTTGTGGATTGTTCTTTTGTTAAAATTGTGGAATTATTCCATTGAATTTTATGGCAATTATCAAATGCATGTTGACAAATGTGTGATTT